TGTAATGCAAAAATCGCGAGTGGACGTACCTTTCTGTAAACTGGATTTAAAATAAATACAGGTTACATTTACGCCAAGTATTTATACATAATCCGGCAAAGACATTGGAATACATTGTGAACTAGTTTTTACAAAAGACCTTCAACAAGCTTCCTCACAACTCAAGTTATTTTAGATCTAGTGACATTGGCGAATGTAACCATTCGCATTAATAATAATCATAACATAATCAATGATTATCAAAATTGATTAAAACAATTCTTATATGCGAAATAATAAAATAGAAGTTACTTTCAAATAGCAATGTGAAATTTATTTGATCAAGTGAGCACTGAATTTTCATATGGTTTAAAAAAGTGATTTGATGTTCTTTCTTACGCATATTATATATAGCATATAAAAAGTAAAAACATAATACATATATGCAGGCATACATAATAAAAGTATGTATATACATATTGGGTCAACGTATGTAGAGTCAATATATTTTAAGTTATGCAAATACTGCTTAAGAATTAAATTGCTATTGGAAATGAAACTATGCGCATGAACTTATCGATATATGTAAATGATCGACTTAATCAATAAGATTTGACGTTAACAAAAATATTCGCACTTAGAAACGGCTAGGCAGATCTTCGGGTAAAACTAATCAATGCGAATCCATTACTTTTAAAAATATGAAGTCAATGATAATTTTTTTGAGCAAACATAAATGTGAGGTCACATTTTGGCTAATCTACACACATACTTTTTTAAAATGTATGTTAAACATAAAATTAGCAAATTGGATTTTCTAGCGAAAGCATAAACTTGGTAATTGATAGTAAGAGTATCAGGATTATAGTATAAAATTAAATCGAATTTCCAAAGTTGTATCTATTGCTTTATTATGGAAATTTACGAATTTTTTTTTCAAAACTCAGCAAATGCATTCCAAACATTCAACCGGAATATTTCACAAAAAACTTCTCCAAGAATGTGATTGAATATCCACGCGCGAACAAAATCTCGTCATGTCGTCATCCCACGATAGAAATATATCGATGAGATAAAAACGCTATGTTAATTGCTTATTTTAATATATTCATTTTTCAAAATAGGAATTTATTCCGACAGCAAAAATTTTAAAATAAATACCCATATCTTCAAAAGTATTTTCATAATAGTTTTAGAATCATTGTATTGTATGTATGTTTACCACACCCATTATTAATGCAATATAGTGCATTTACCATATAATAATTGTTCATATGTCCTATTTGCAACATTTAGAATAATGCTAAATGAATGAATAATTTTATAACTTAACATCATGAATGTTATACAAATGATAGAAAACATAATAAAATGCAAATCAGACTCATTTAGCGAAGTGCAACGTGCAAAGCGATATAGCATAATATAATTCACTATTCTTGTATTAGCAATTATCATATATTACTATATGTAATGCAGAAGTATCAATAGTAAATTCACAACATATTGATGCAATAATTCGATATATTTGTTGTATCTTTTGAACCAATTTAAAATAAATTGAATATTTTTAACGATCTTGAACCTTATATATATATATATATATATATATATATATATATAGAATTTTATGATATGAGTGGAACGAATATTAATTGTTTAATATGAACAAAACAGCACTCAGATTTGTTTAACACAACTTTATTTTATGATTACAGACGTTTCGAGACCATGGTCTCAGACCATGGTCTCGAAACGTCTGTAATCATAAAATAAAGTTGTGTTAAACAAATCTGAGTGCTGTTTTGTTCATATTAAACAATTATATATATATATATATATATATATAAATATATATATGTGTGTGTGTGTGATATGAGAGTAATTGTTGCAATTCTAATAATAATTTAGAAGTTTTTTCAAATTTTAGAAGTTTGCAATTAACTTTCGTCGTTGTTTCATTTTTCTAGTTGCAATTTACATTGAAAAATATGGCTTCAAAATGGTAGGTTCATTTTCTTTTAATTGAACAGCAACTAAAACTGATCAGCCCTATAAATTGCTGAACTAATACTATTTAACTACGTGCTTTCTCAAGAGGAAGCTCAAAGATTTTCATATTATTATTACTAAAAGT